TGGTGTGTAAATTTGTCACCTTCAGCGATACAAGAATTTGTATAAGCAAATGATCTGGTCTTAAGTTTACCAGTTCTAAGTTATACCGAAGATCATCAAAAAGAAATATCCTGTTGTGCTGGCAAAGACTAATGAAACTTCAACTGAAAAATGTCCTGCTTGCTGTGGGAAGAGAAAAAGATAGACTGAAAAGGGATAATATGTTGCTTTTACTAAGGTAAAAACCAGCTTCAGAGGTAAGTAAAAAGAAGGGAAATAGCTAATGTCAAGACTCCCGGGGAGCTCTTGCAAATTAAGTATTTATATCTCACTGGGTCATGTTATGAACAAGAACTAACGAAAGGAAAGCTGCTTCCATCTAGTGAAGTCCAGTGAATTTTAATTTAATTAAGTAAGCAACATTTCTTAATTGTGACCTGCTTTGGAAAAGAACTTTTGAATTGAAATTGTTATTTCAACGATCATTGAGTTAGCATGCTTGGGCACAAAATGTTAATGAAGAAAGATAAAGGCAATTGCATCAAAATTCAAGATGCAAAAGCTGTGATAACAACTTACATTTCAATTATTTTCTTCAAGCTTAACCCTGAATCTCTCTCTCATTCCACTGAATTCAAATCACATTAAAAATTTCCACTGAATTCAAATCCGATTTTCATGGCTTTGTCTATGAGATTTGCTGGAGAAAGGGTTTCAGGCCTAAACTCATCATCATTAAAAAGATCAAAAACTCTTTATCTACCAAGAACACCGTCAACAAGTTCTGATAGCAAATTCAATACTGGTCGAAGAGAAGGAAACCTCAGGTAAACGCAGGGTTGGGATTCACAAACCTTCTCAAACTCAGGTGGGATGGCCGCGAAGGTCGCCCGCCACCGTTCATGTGGGACGCCGGGCGCCGGTTCTCCGGTGCTGCGCTCGTTGGCAGCTGCGGCTTAACCCAAGAGAGACCAGGAACGGCCACGGCTTGGCTGGAGCTACAGCCATAGGCTGGGTCTGAAGGAGACAGACCTGCCCCTCTTTGCTCCTCCTGCCAGTGACTGCATCCTTCGGTGGAAGCAGCAAGCAGACACTGCGGAAAGCAACGTCATCGCTCCCACAAGGATGACAACCCGCAGCATGTGAGGATGTGTTGGCACCAGACAGCACAGAACAGGGCGAAGTCTTAGAGGTGTGACTGACCTCAGGCAATGAGCTACAGCACGGCGCGACAGCCCGAATGTGTAACACACTCTGCAGGGCGCCCAGGCTGACAGGTGAACTGGAAGCCAGGTGTCTAACCTGCACAGGCGCTTATGGAAACCCCCAAGAAGCATCTACCTTTTTAGATGATTTTACACCTCTAAATGACTCGCTGTTAGCACCCACAGTGCCTGTGGCAATTTTGAGAACAGTATTTAGGTGCTTTTTAAAGTGTGACCTGCTCAAAGAGATCTGCAATTACATACAGATCAGACCAAAACTACAGCTCTTTCTTTGAAATTCACTGAGGGCTCAATTTCCCTGAAATTTTCCTCACATATGTATCTCAGTAGTGAGACCCAAGCACTCCTAGACTGATTTCCAAATCCAACCTCCGACAAAGCAAAGTGAGTGTCTGTTTTGTTTAAAGTCGCTGTAGGGGAAGGTTTGGGCTCAGTGTCAACCCTCACAAAAAGTGTGGAAATTTAGTTTAGGACCACCTCTGCCGACAATGCAAAACCACGTGTTGAAACGTAGGGTCTACAAGTGAGCCTGACTCTAGAGCCTCCTGCAAGACTTCTCCTGTGGGTGCGGTCACTCAGAAACGTAGGTCTTTGCTACTGCTCGGGGAAACGAGAAACATTTAGAAACGTCCAACAATAAAACATTTAAATCTATCCATGTATAAAAAGGCACAGTTAACCACTAAACAAATACGGTGGTGAGGAAAAAGACATAAATTGTGTAACCATTGCAATCAAAGAAATACATCATGTAGAAACCGTACCCTGTGTGAGGCTTCATTATGTAGCCACTATGGAGAAAAAGTTAAGATCTCTTGCCAGTGCAGCAAGCCAAGTACGGCTGCAGCCACGCACAGGCACTGACTGTGGGCACTCAATCATGGCTTTTTAAATTTTACGATCTTTGCTTCATGGAAACTCCAGGGGGAATTTCCTACTGGACTACCTGCAACTTGTGTTTTGCCTCAGTAAAAACTGGAGGCTCAAATTAGTCATGTGTAAACAGCTTCTCGAAATGTTTCCATTTAAACAAACTCTCTGAATAATTTACTGCACTTAAATGGTCAGCAAAAATAACTGTAACTTTCTTAATCTAGTTACAAAACAACGGTCAAAATACCACATAGTCACTCAAAAATAACAATTTTACCAGAGCTTAATTTTCCTTTAAACAATCTCCAGGCAAAGTCTGCAAAACAATTAACTGCTAGATCGCATTCATAAATATGAAGCAAGCACTAAAAATGCTTTATTCAGAGTTTGTAAAGGCTTGCTCAAAGTATTTGTGTTTAATTATCACTGGTAATTTGAAGCCTGAGCCTTGAAAGTATCCAAGCTAAACACCTGTTTTTTAGTGACATCGAACTGCCGCTTATCAATTACAAATATCTTTAGAATAATGAGCCATAAAACATAAAAATGTAATTTTTTAGTACTTTTCCATACATTGGTCCCAATAACTCTTAATATTAAGGGCTTACAATAGAACACGACTGAGGTCATATACAAACAGTTTAGAAGAATTTAAATTAAATAATCACACTTTAAAGACACGTCCCCTGCAGCTAAAGAACTTCGAAAAAAACATTCAGATAAGCAAATAACATTTTTTTACATTTACAAATGAAACATCATATGAGTATTTATTGATTTTTTTAAAAATTCAAAAATACATTGTAACAGAACAGAATGCATACGTTCTTCAACAAAAGACAAAACTATGGTTATCATCTGGACCAGAATACAAATACATGCTAACAATTTAAAAATCATTTTGGGTCATTCAGGAAACATGAAACAAGCTAGCTGTTTGCAAATGCAGTAGTTTTCTACTTGGTAAATGTGCCTGAGAAAGTTAACCTGTAAAGAAATCGGCTTTTAAACACAAAGAGCTTTCTAGGCTGAAATGGTGAAGAGACCTGTGATATGCACCTGACAGGCCACTGAGCCATTTCCCACAGAGATACTGTTCACTGCTCCACCTCGGCTCAGCCACTCAGCAGTGGCAGAGTTTCACATCAATACCAGGCTTATTCAAGCAAGGTGTTAAAAAGCATGCTAAGATGATGTAAAACCATCAGTTACATACACAGCAGATAGATGTTAATAATGGAGATCCTCTACCAAAGTCCTTGGTTTGTATCAGGGCCAAGTAAAAAGTAGTAGTCTAGTTTATGGATGAAATATAATATTTTTTTGGCTCAAGGTTCTACACAAGCATCTAGAATCAAAGCATGAAAAAAAAACCAGGACAAACACAACTAATCATTTTACAGTAACCACATACTGTAAGCAAGTAGGAATCAAAACTAACATAAATTGTGCATCGGTTCTATGAAAATAAAGTGTTACTAGTAGACACAAGAAATCTGACAAGAGTGAAAGCGAGCAGTGAAAACTTCATGGATTGAATTTCTTTTCATTGGAATTCATCTGTTTCTACTGCAGGCAGGTAACAAATGGAACTCAGGAAAACTGAATTCCTATTAGCAGCTTAACTCTACTATGGTGAGGCTTAAACTTTGACTGTTTCTTGCATTAAGAGACATTCAAACTAATGAATCCAAAATGACATTTTAAAAATGAAGACCAAAAGAAAGCTGAGTGTACAGTTTACACAGAAATGGTGTTAGGTCAAATCCACAACTGGTGATATCTGATGTACGCAAATGTAATTTAACTATGCTGCTTATGCCAACGGAACATCTGACACTATTTCTCAAATTCTAGCAGCCTCTTTCAAATCAGTTCCAACAACTGCATACTTTGTAAATTACACAGGCTTTGACGAAAAAAATCATTATCAGGCATGCAGAAATTCTAACAGAAACCTCCCATTTCCAGAATTTGGTTACATGATCAAATTACATATGCTAGAACACAGGAAACCAACTTTTCAAATGAAACAAATTCACAACTCTGAAAAGGAAAAAAAAACAAAACAAAACAAAACAGAAACCTACGACAGGAAAAAGTTTTTCTACATAGCTGGTCCTATCCTCCGATGGTGCAACACAGTAAAATGCGCTACTATCCATATATGTGTGTAATTTTGCATGTAATGGTGACTGAGAAGAGGCTTCCTTTCCCCATCTTCCACACTGCAGAAATGACTGGATGTACTACAGAGGCTGCCACTGTCATATGAAATGTAGGGTACTTGCGATGGCTGGGTACAGGTCATCAGTGCTGAAGGACTCGTGCTGACCCAGTGCAGTACACCTTACATTCTCTAGTACTGACTGTGATGTCAAAAACATTCTGCATTGCTCTGACACCAGGTCTGCTCCTAGGCTGCACCTTCTGAACAAAATGTTACTCTACAGGTTACGACTAATAGGTGTGGGGTGGGAAGCAGAGTAACAGCTTTAACGACCCGGCCCAGAAGACAAACGCAAAGTTAAGGGGATGCGTCAGCACCTTCTGGATCAAAGTCAAAGAGAAACCAAGGCCAGAGCAGTATATGTAAAACTTCTGATGCCAAGAGGTGAAGACTCTCAAAGAAGTGCAAGTAAAAAGCATAATTTAAGCCTGTAATTATTTAAGCAGAATAAACAGAGGAGAGAAAGATGGCCTGCAGTAAGGTGAATGGAAGGAAGAAAGGAACAAAAAAAGAGAAGGAGGGACAAGTATATTGGTGCAAGGCTGTATCTCCTGGACCCAGAAACTGCCTTGGACACCAGCTAATTTTACAAGATAAGTTACATGCATGCCCACATTCAAGAGGGCAAGAGTGAAACCTTGATGGCAATGCTATGATTCTGGCTGAAGAGCTTCATTTTCCCCCTCCCATACCTGAAAGCCTTGAATCCTTGCCAAATACTCCAGCTGTTTTGAAGGCTGCACTGCAGAACAGGGGGAAGCAGGAGATACTCCTTTTAGACCTATGGCTTCAGCAGTTGGGGACGTTCCGTTCATGAGAAGTTCCCTGGCAATCGTAGCTGTGCTATTTGTGGTAGGAGATATGCTGAAGAAAGAGCTAGAAGTCTGGCTCATTTCTTTGGGTGACAGATAGCTTACAGTGGTACCAGGGGCTGATTTGTTGCGGCTTGCTTCCATCTCTTGATAAACATCAGGAGAGAGATGGAGTATTCCCTTTGGTGCTGAAAGCAAAAGCAAAGATCATTCTCATTACTCTAGAACGGGTTTGACATGTAGACTGTTTTCATTTACACACTTTGCAGTCGAAAACAAAGCAAGCATTTAAAAGCAGTATCTCTTTTCCCCAGGAACTGTAAATGATATTCCATAATTTATTTAGAAACAAAGCAGATCTGACGTGCCCCTCTTCTTCCTCTTCCCCCACTCTTTTTAAGAAGGTACAAACCTGGACATCAAAACTTTGGCTAGGACAGAATACACAACATGAACAAATAAAGGTCTGGAGATCTACAAACCACGAGGAACAGCTGCTACTTCCAAATAGCAACATGATCGTTATTTCACTACAGCCTTCTGCCTCCTACCTGAAACAACGATTTAGGCTGTTACTTCACAAATAATTTAAACTATCCTATGTCAGCATGTCGCCGCCAGAAGCCGGTCTTTTCTCTGCCACCTACAGCTGCTGTTTGCACTCTCCAGCTGCTCTATTGCTTGTGCCAGCACCAGCACCTGTAGGACCACGCAGTGATGCTCATGAGGACGAGCTGGCGGAGGCAAAGGAAGGGCAGGACAGCTTCTTGCGGTAGCAGCACTGCCTCAAGCGCTGGCTTACAGTGTTTGCTGAATTACAACGGCAGCCTGTGCTTAAATAACCTTAAATTGCCCTGCAGCCACATCATTACTGTGTTAATGACTCTCATGTGACTGACTGCTCTTCAGTGAAGAGGAACTTATTTATTTATTTAGCTGCACCTATGGCATCCTATAGTTTGTAAATAGCTGCTTGCCTTGGACAAGGAAAGCACATAGGTGTCATCGTTAATAACAACAGGAGTTAGGGTAAACATTAAAAAAATCTAAATGCATTTATGTGAATTACTTTTAAACATTTCCAGTGACACGTAAATTAGGGATGATTTGTCTACATTTCAAAATTTTTTAATATATTTTCAGAAAACATCTCAACCCTAAACCTTGCTGAAAACAGGAGTATATACTTGATCAGTTTTGCTGATATTCTTGTGCACAGAAATGTGCAGAATGAAGGCTGAAGTTTGCTAGTTTTCATATACAATGAAGCGTTTGTTGGAAACATGAGTGCTCAGTTTGCTGATATAAGAGGAAAACCTCTTATCATTAATAAATTGAAAAATGTGCTTCAACTGTGTAATTTCACATTAATAGCATACTTTAATTTTCTAGCATATATCTGAAAATAACATGGGTGAACCTGAGCCATACGGCCTTTCATGCTAGGGATGATAAACCTGTTTGTTAACTGATTTACTCATCCCAAGAGAAATCAAAGGGTTCAATGCTTAATTCATTTGCAGTACAGATTAAATTCATCTCAGAATGTAGAATAAATTCAAGGAAGAGAAGAAAATTAATTTCCAGCTACCTAGAAAGGATTCCTCTAATCCTAGTAGCACAAGTAGTATTTTTAAACAAAACGTCTACCACAAGGAGTGGACTCGAAAAATATTACCAGTAATTAATATCCTCAGTTTCAACGACATGGCAAAAATTGAACTTCCTCACTGCTGATTCAGCAAACTGCTTACAGGTGAATCTTTTAATCGATTTACTCACACATTTGGCTTTGAAATTAATATTACTTTCAGAAAGCTGGAACATCAGCTTATATCATTCACACAGACACATCTGTTATTCACCTGATTGCTCTCCCCACCTACCTTCATGGGGCTGGGGAGCCTGGCTGGACCTTCAACTCCAACTTTAAAGGTGTTTTACCCAGTCTTACAACTGGCTCCAAAGCCAGCGGACCCTGCGCTGAACTCTAGATGTAAGTACAAATTCGAGAAAATGCTACTGGGAAAGATGGAGGACAGGGTTCCTAAAATTTCTTTTTCTCCATTTGAGACAAATCAGAATGTAACTTTATAGGTAACAACAACTGTGTAAACATGCAGCGTTATTTTACAGTGCATAATCACTATATAATAGAGTGATTATATACTGGTTTTGTGAGGCTGTAATCTCCAAAGGCTATCACTGCTCATATTTTTTAATAGTCTTATACAAGAGACAGCATGAATGAAAATTAAAATAGATAATAGAGATACTGATAGCGGACGTTAGGTTACAAAACCAAACAGCAATAATAATATTGAGTGTCAGGTGTTCACCACCTCCTAAGACCTGCCCACTGTAAATCTGATTTCCTACAAATATCTGAGAAACGGAAATGAAAATTGAACAAAAGGTAAAACAATATACTTGTTTAGAAAGAATACATTAGCCCCCCCAAATCAATTTTAGAAAAACATAGTAGAACGTTAACTTAAAAAAAGTTTAAAGAAGTTTAAAAGCAAGTCCAGTGCTGCAGATGTCTGTTCCATTGATGTAATATTACTTAAAACAAACATTTTACATGCTTTCTCAGCCATTTCACTGTTTTTACATGATCCACCCAAATATCTAACTGCTGTCTGGAACAATGGTTTGGAATACTTCCAGATTACTAAGCTTTCTAAATGTTAAAATAACTAATATGCAGCATATGATGAATAAAAAGATATTGAGCAGAGTATAGCAAATGCTCCTAAAGTACTGACTTTACTCTAATGGTGATGTTAAATTAATAATAGTACTTTTACACCTATGCAACACCATTCTACTAAAGACTTCAAAGTGCTTTATAAGCAATAATTAATTTAAATCATACATTGGCTCTGAGAGGCAGATATTATATTACCATCATTGATTATCTCTGGAAACAAAGTAATGTAATATTCCAGACATTACATTAATATAGTTGCAAGCTATTAACTTTTTATATTCAGGGCCTATGTTTCATGAAGCTTCTTACAAACTTGTTTTAAAAAGCCAATAAAAACTTGGTCTCCGAAAACTTCTATCAAGCATATATTAATTCATTATCTATATTTAATGTATAATTGAGGACTTTTTGAAATATCATTCCTCACTGTTGTCTGCTTACTTCAACTCTGTTGAACTGTAGAAGACTGTACAGATATAACAGTTTAGTTCCAGTAGTAAAGATGTTATCACAAGACAAGAAGTAGGACATTAACAGAGGAGTAAATATAAGAACAAAAGAACTCTTCAGAAATTACCTTAATTAGTCTTCAAACAAGCACTTCAAAAAAAACTCACGGGAGAAACAAATACTACCCTCTAACACCTTTATGCATTGCAGGAGAACATCTCTTGGTGAATATTTTCATATTTTTGCTAGTCTTTCAGCTAAAAAAAAAAAAAAAATTGGGATTTTTGTGTCCACTAAATATTTATCCCATACTAACTTCATCATACTCCAAAGGTAGCATCACAATTATTAGGAGTCACAGGATCTATAATACTACCATTTAGATGAACAACATTACACCTTCTGCTGCACATTAACTTAGAGGTACATTCACAAAACATGTTAAAATAATTTCCATTCATATTATTTAAACCTGTGGGCAAATGTGCGACGAAAACATGCAGGCTAGCTATGCAATGTAATCACTAACATTTGAAAAACATCTCTTATTCATCCTTGGCGGTAATTGCTAGCAGTCTCTCACAGTCTTCTGAAGTCTCCGAAAACCTCACACCAAAGACATCTCTTACCTAAGAATAAATTTCTTGATTTTCCATTCTCTTCTTTTGCTGTCATGTACTAGACAACTGCAAAACAATTTAGCCTCTGAGGCAAATATACAATTAAGACACAAAATGGCCCAACTATTCATCACAAGCCTTCCCCTTGAAGTGTATCATCTTTGTGTTCTGATTCCACGTCTTTTGATAACAGCAGTAGTAGAGGAAGTCTCCAAAAACTTAAAGCTTATTGGAGCGGCGTTATTTTTATCCCTAACCCTTTCTCCATAGGGTCCCTTTGGCTGTGAAGACAGGGTGTTCTTAGCTGGGAAGACAAGGCAGGGGGGACCTTTCTACAGAAGGGTTCCCCACTCTCTGGAGCTTCATTCCTTCTGGAGTTCACGGAAAACAAAACTAACCATCAGAGGTTCTTTCTGCATGGGGAATGGAGTTAGGGAGGAGAACAACTGACAATACCACCAAATGAGCCTCAACGTAATCAGACTCTGAAAAAATGGTCTTATGTTGCTGATACAGGGACAGTGACAAGATACTCCACAGCAGTGGGCTACTAAGTTAAGAAAAGTCCAGAATGATGACAGCGTTCACATGCAGATTCACATGTATTAGTGTCTACACTTGTACCACTGGTGTCCCATTTTCAATTTTCTATTTCTGTCAGGAAGACTAGAAAACACGAAAAGCTGAAATTTTGATTATATCATTCAGCTCCAAAAGACGATCTACAGAATCAGGCTTGTATCGTCAATCTGCATATATATCTCAGTGCTAATTTTCTCTCTTTTCTATTTGATCAGCACTGTAGGGATATTCTTCCTCTGCCTTCACTCAATGAATTCTCCTGGTTCGAGGTCACTCACTGACTTTTCGTGTTCCAAGGACACTCAGTATACTTGGTCTAATCCACAACTTTGCTCTTTCTTGGAGAACTTCAATTTTCTTCCTGAGCTCTCACCTGTCCTACAGGAAAGCTATACGTGTTAGTACATCAGAAGCAGTGTCAGCTGGTGTATGACTTCCCCTGACACCTCTGAAGAGCACATGCTCTTCCCTGCACTGCAACCAGTAATATGGGGCACCAGCATTAAGGAGTACTTTAAGGAGTACTTGTGTAATGATGCAAAGTAAACCATGATATAATTCTGTATATGACATGCTCATAAATTAACACTCTGATATTTGAAATAACTCATCACTGGATGAAGAAAAGTTTGTTCCAAAAGAGATAATTAGTATTTTTGGAATTGAATAAAATACTCCATAGATAATAATCAAAAAGCTTTCTTTCAGATTATGCTACCTGTATTCCCATTGAATAAAGCCTTCTTTTATTGGGCTGCTTAAAATACGTGGCAAAATCTTGCAGTAAGCCATTAAGCAGGAAAAGTTAGACCCAAATCTAACC